GGAGTCCGGCCTCTGGTACGATACAACGTACTCGGCATGCGTTTTCATGTCAGCGCGTTGCAAGCACCAGCGGCTGCGGCACAACATCCATGAGATCGAGCTGATTCACCCCCGCGAGTGCCACCATCAGCACGCAGCCTGGGAGTGGGATCCTTGGGAGGACACCCAGGGGCGGCACCAGTTCCCATCCAAGGAGGAGGCGGAGTATTCGGCTACCCTGGCCTTCGCAATTGCGGTCTCGGTCAGTTGGTGGGCGGTCCGAGAAGGGCATGCCCGACTCCACGTGCCTCGGATGCCGCCGCTGGAGGCGTGTGGCCGAAGGCAAGGACATCGATCCCAGAGCTATGCGTAGCTGGGCCATGACTCCACTGGCCATTACACTCGGTTTGCCACCACTGCATCCCGAGGAGCGGGCGCGGCTGCCCACGGTGGTACGAGTGGCGGACGTACTTGCCGATGGTAAGCTGCCTCCGGACGTGGTTTACGTGGGTCAGGGCCACCACTCCCACCGGGTCCCACGGTCTCAGTGGGCATCACCGTTCGTGCAGGGGCACACCTGTACGACGGACGACTGGCTGCCGCTCTACGTGGACTTCGTCCTCGCCAATTTGCAGGCGGAGCTGCCTGCGCTGCAAGGCAAACGGCTGGCATGCGATTGCGGCCCGGACGGTGTCTGCGAGGCAGATGCGCTGGCTGGGATGGTCTTTGATGCGACCCATCCGGATGCCGAGGCCAGCCTGCCCAGAGTCACTGGGCGGCGGCACAGGCAGGCCAGGGGCTCTGTGGTCAGGGCGGCGACCATCATGGGATCGCTCCGAGGCAGTGACGCACTGCAGTCGATGTCACTCTGGTTTCCGCAGGAGGACGTAATTTTGGCCTTTCGCAAGCTCTACCCGGCAGAGTGGTTCCAATCGACGGACCCCTGGGGCCGCCCTCTTCGTCCAACGCTAGTCGGAGGCGGCAGCGGTTGGCAGAGGGGAAGCAGCATGGAGCCTACAACCACAAGGCCTCCATTCCACCTCTGGTGGGATATGGGCTGGAGCCGGACGCCCATTTCGCCGCATCCCTGCAGTGGACCCACACGGCAACCCCGTTGGAAGTCCCTCCTACGTTGGACGACGACCTGTGGTACGCGGCCAGCATGGTGATGGAGAATCACGACCTGAAGAGCCGCCGCCAGGCGTCCATCGGGGCCATCAAGGAGCTGAAGCGCAGGTGGGCGCCGGTGTCCAAGCACCTCGTGGCCTTCCAGTCCGAAGCCATCCGAGGAGTTACCTCGAAACGCGATCTGGGTTTGCTGGGGCTCTTCGTCGTCCTCATGCAGTGGGGCGACTTCGCCCTCCCTCACGGCTTTATCAAAGGCCTTCCAGCAGTGGGCTATGCCCCTCACTACGGAGTCTTCCCCCACCAGCCCGTCGAGGCGATCGCCCACTCGGAGGTACTGGCTGGTTGGGAGGAGCACAACGCCGCCACCATCGCAGGAGTGCGGCCGGGTTCCACGGACTCCTTCGTTCTTGAGCAGTCCACAAAGGATCACAAGGAGGGGTTTTGCACCCCCGATGAACCTGGGCCAGCTCAAGCGGTATGCCAAAGGAGATCCATACCGGCTCATACCTCGCTGTGTCATCACACAGGCGTCTGGCAAGCAGCGTCTGATAGACGACGCAGCACGGGGCGGGCAGTCTGCATCGTCCAGAGATGCCAACAAACTTGTTTTGTGTACGCCGCTCCGCCCAGCGCTCCACGTCCAAGCTGCGGCAGCCTGCCTTCAGGAGTGCACCTGGGAGCGGTTCGCGCAGCAGGGGCAGTGGATGGGAGCTGGAGATGATTGGCCGAATGCCTACCGCCACTGTCCCATGTCACGACAGGAGGCCCTGGCCTGCGTGGTAGTTTGGTACCACCAAGAATGGCAGGAGCCGGCCTTCCAGGTGTACCACGCCCTCTTGTTCGGCCTTCCGTTGGCGGTCACCTCCTTCAACCGCTACTCCCGGATGGCGGAAGCTATGGGCAGGCGTTGACAGTCACATTACAGACCGCGCAGTACACGGCCCATCGGCCCAGTGGAGTTTTGGCGCCCTCAACGACCTGCTGGGCACCCCGTTCGCTGAGGAGAAGCGCCAGGGAGCTGCGGATGTCGGTACCTTCTTGGGGCTTGATTTCGATCTCTCGGAGGTCCACACACATGGGCGCGCGCGGTTTTGGGTTCGAGAGCGACTCGAACAGAAGGTGCTCACCTTCATGCGTGAAGCCAGGAAGAGCGGGAAGTTCACCCCGGGTCAAGCTGCGAAACTCTACGGCATGGTCAACTTCCTGGAGCATGGCCTCTTCGGGCATTGGCTTGGGCGAAATCCAGGCATTGAAGGAGCACCAGTACGGGGGCTCCAGCAGAGCCAACGCCAGCCTCCTGGCGGCTTTTGACGTGTTGGAGGCTATCATCAGTATGCGCCCCAGGAGAGAGCTGATGGTCCTCCCCTGGATGTGCCGAGGGTGGTGGCTGCCTCGGACGCGGCTTCACCTCGTCAAGGATCCGGCGGATACCACTTGGTCTTCCAGGACGGTGGCGTGCAGATTCGGGAGGCCTTTGTAGCCATCATCCCCGCGCAGACCTATGACATGTGGGGACCAGGAGACCATAAAATAGCCCAGTTGGAGCTGTTCATGGTGGTGCACGCCCTTACGGCGAGACCCGACCAATTCCGCGGGAGACGCGGAGTGTGGTTCATCGACAACATCGCCAGTCTTATGTGTTTGATCAGGGGCAGGAGTGACAACCCCGACTTGGCCAAGATGGCGACGTATATTCAGTTTTTGCTCTTCGCGTTGCGAGCCTCACTTTACTGGGAATACATTCCATCCAAATCCAATTGGGCCGACGCGATCAGCCGAGTAGGACCCAGTGACCCATGGTACAGGGCCAACCACTTCGAGTTGAATTTCAGTCTTTTCCCTCCAGCTCTACTGAGGCTTCCGTACCGAGCAGTGATTACCTTTGCTGAGTTCCTGTGAGTGCATTGGGAGAGGTTGTGAAAGAGGTTGTGAAAGTAAGTGCGTTGGGAGATGTATCCTGCTTGATGCAGGGCATCCAGAGCTTATCGGGGGTAAACCCGATGTGCCGAGGAAATCGGCGAATTGGCTGGGCCACAGCATGAGGAAATTCATGCTGTGGATACCAATGCAAATCCCACAGGAAAAGGTGGGTTGTCAGGCTATAGACTCGTGTCGCATCGCTGGAGTGAAAATGCTGCGGTGCTGTTTATGTCAAACCTCCTTGAGAATGTAATCCTGTATCAGGTTGGAAGGCTTGGGTTTACAGGCTTCATTCTGCAAGGAGTGTATTGGATCATGCGGGGTTTTTGGTTCAAGCATGATCCAAACTGGCTAAATTTTAACCCCACCCTATCCCGCCCTAGATCACCGGCCCCCCTAGTTGGGACGTCCGTGATCTTTGAAGAGCGCGCCGCGCTTGGGGAATGCCTGGGGGACCAGGCCCCCAGTCAGTCAGTTAGCTCTGTGGTGGGAGATGTATCCTGCTTGATGCAGGGCATCCAGAGCTTATCGGGGGTAAACCCGATGTGCCGAGGAAATCGGCGAATTGGCTGGGCCACAGCATGAGGAAATTCATGCTGTGGATACCAATGCAAATCCCACAGGAAAAGGTGGGTTGTCAGGCTATAGACTCGTGTCGCATCGCTGGAGTGAAAATGCTGCGGTGCTGTTTATGTCAAACCTCCTTGAGAATGATATAGCATATAGCTGCCAGGATCTGAGCATGTTTCAGTTTGGGCAAAGGCTAACGTAGGTTGGCGACGTGTATCTGTGCCCTTTGCTGAATGATGATGCTACAAAATATGGGCTGATTATTTGTTTTAGGGGGATTTATCTGATTCGTGTCGTCCGGGTTAGTCTGAAGGTGCCCTGCAGATTTACATGAACCCCCCCACCATGGTTTGATATTAACCAGGCTCCCGCCTGCTGCCGCCGACCCTCGGCGCAGTAAGGGAAAAGTCATAAGGACCGGTCCTGAAACACGTCCGCAAACCCAGGGACCACTTTATAAGATCCTCTACGACCACAAACAAGGATTAACGGAAAAGTCAGAAATATGGCAGCTAGTCCGTTAATTACCGCTCGGGCCGGCTTGCGCCCAAGCAGTCGCCTCTCCCGGGGTCGCCCTGACACTGGTATCGGATCCCACTTCAAACCGCTGCAGACCACTGGTGCCACCTCAAACCGCTCCAGACACCTGTTTCCTCCAATGTCGCTGTTTCCGGACTGGCACCCGTGTTTCAGGACCGGACAGGGTCCCAAGTCCCAGTCACTCCCTGCGACCGGTTGAGGGGCACTGACGGCCTTGAATCTAGGACCAGCTCAACGTCACTTGGGCGCAAACCGGCCCGTACGGTCATTGACGGACGAGCTGCCATCTGTCTGACTTTTCCGTTAATCCTTGCGGTAGTAGAGGATCCCTGGATCTATTCTGCAAGAGAGTCCAATTCGTCGAGTCAAACCGCGCCAGACTGGGACCAGCCTGGACAGGGTCCCAAGTCCCGGTCCCTGCCGGCGACCGGTCCAGGGCAACTGCAGCTTCGGGAGGGCCAGTGTCCACACCAACTCGATCCACGGCTGACTGAAGCAGCAGAACAACCAGGGTCCCAGGACCAGTCCCAGGACCGGTCCCAGGACTGGTCCCAGGACCGGTCCTGGGACCGGTCCCGGGAGCGGTCCCAGGACCGGTCCTACAAATCCACTTTTTGTGCTTTCCCCAGAAACTATCCTGGATTCCAATCACTTCCAGTTGCATCCCACGCCGTCCCCTCTGCAGGAGGCTGGGACGGGAGGCAGAGGGTCGGCGGAATCTTTAATCTTCAATCTAGGCGAATTGCCCTAACTACATATTTGAAGAACGGGCTCCAAGAGGAGACTTCTCTAAAAGCGATGGTTTTGTGCATACCTTTTTCACCTGCAGGAGTGAAACCTTAGATTATTGGGTTTCAACGCAGGATCGGCCGCAAGATGCTCCGCCTTTGGCCGCACGCTACTTTGGCAAGCTGCAGATCACTGGGAACAAACAGCACTCTGCGGACTCTTTCGCAGCGGGAGGTATCGTGTCTACTGCGCAGGACTCGGAAGAGTTTGCTGCCACTAACTCAGTCCATAGCCATAGCGGCTCGGGCTTGTGACCTTCCGGCCTTCCAAGTTTGGCTTGTTTGTTCACTAAGTTGAACTTCTGTTCTTTTCAAGGCGCTTTTGCAAATGTGTTACAGTGAGCAATATTTTTCGGGGTGATCAAGCTCGTGTTTGGAGGGAAATGTCAAATTGAGAGGTGTCACATTTTTCACGGTGTCACATGTTCCATGGCCTTCACACGGAACAAGGCATGTGTTCCCGTAGGACCTTGAGAAGTTCATGGGCGCGCTTGCCAGCGGGAGGCTGTTTCCACTCGGCGGGCAAAGGACGTTGCACAAGATGATGTCCTGGATTCCGGCCAAGCATCATTGCCAAACCAAAGGCTTATCTTTTTAGCCCTTGTCACAACTGTTTTCTGTTATGTTCCTTTCAGCCAAGCAGTGCCGGACTTGGCTTACGATTTTTTCTTTTGCGCTTTGGGCTTTCCATCATTTTCCCATGCACCCAACAGTGTTCGGCTTGAGGGTGTCGGAGTCTGGCCGAGGCGTGGCAAAGGATTTTGGTATGGCCTGGGCCTCATGCGGGTGGATCTCGAAGATCAGGCACGCAACTCGCAGCCATGGGACAGGAAACATCTACTGAGCTACAAGATGTTGCCCACCTGCTGTAGGGAACCATAGGCAACAAAGAAGACACTAGTAATCTAAAGGAAACCATACAAAACCATGGGAAAGGGGACTCGAAACTCACATCCCCACCTGTTGGACCTTTCCTTGTCACCCCCCCGCCCCACCGCCCTTTTTCACGCCCCAACTTTTGTTTGGAATTGGCTCCTACCTTATCTCCTCAGGCTTCTGGACTCAAACCAGGGCTCAACCCTGGTGTTTCCTTATCCCTTTGCAAGGCTGGAGAGAGCACAAGCAAACACCGGGTTCCAATTCTTGCTCTACCAGGGTCGCACTGGGTTCGTTGCTTTTGGCGGCCAACTCAGTGGAAAGCTGCCCATTGGCAGCTGGAGCAAGGGAACTCTCACCTTGGCAAATGGCCCCTGAAGCGTCATGATGCCGCGGTCACGCAGCACCCGAAATTGGCAAGCCCTCATTTGTTTCTTGAAGGAAGAAGCATCAAGCGCTGGCAGGCTGATGATCCAAGAATTGAAGGTTAAGCAGCTCGCCTCCCTCGGGTCGCTTCTGCTGGCTAGAAACATTTGTATGGTCAACTGTTGGGTCAACAGCTGCATGGCTGACAGAAGCTGCAGCATTTTTGTCCAGGAGCTTGTCCTTCTTCCCCCTTGAGATTACGGCATTCCGATGTTGACAGAGTTCACAGTATGTTCACCCTGAACCTCGTGAAAGGACACGTCTGCCATGTGGCAGAAAGGGGAAGTAGGACCGTAGGACCCGGGTTCCGCCGCTGTTTTTTGTGAGGCGGGCTTCTTCGAACGCTTCTCGCGGTCCAAGCCGCGGGGGTACATCTGGGGCCACGAGGGCTTTGGGGGCGCCTTCGCGTGGTACTGGGTGCCAGGGCCAGAGGAGGAGGGGGCCAGGAAACTGGGCGTCTTTCTTCGGGGTACTCCTTTTTTATGTGGTTTTTAAAAGGGAAGCGGGAAGGCACACACCACCGTTTTTGTTGCTGCTTGGTTGGATCTTTGGACTTCAACCTTGGGCAAAACTGTGGCAAGCCAAGTGGAGGCTTCTCTGGAACCGATAGTTTTTGGGGTTCCATGTTAGCCACTGTGTACCCAGCACCGCCCTGACGACTTTCGTGTGAAGTATGCTGCAGCCTTTTGAACATGAATTTGCAGACCGCATGTTCAAGCAATCGCTGCCATTGAAGCTGGTGGTTGCTTTCCTTCGTAAACTTACAGCCAAGGCCTAAGACATATTTCTCCACCCGAGGGATCTGAATTCTTTGAGTACCATCACCTTTTGGCCTTTGGCCTGGTTCAAATCAGTTGTGTTTTGAGGGTCCATTTTGGGTTCCCTTGAGTTCGAGGATGTAAGCTGCGGGTACAGGACGGGCTCATCCTCACGGGCACCACCAACAACGAGGCACAGACCCGTGGCATGAATGTGAAGCATCTTTGCAAAATTGACGTTGCAGTTGAAAGAAGGGTGGACCCCCTGATTTTGGATTGCCTGCTTTCTGCAATGCAAAGGGGAGCTTCCTGAGTAACAAAGCAGTCGTAGGGATGGCTATATATGTTCCACGACCAAAAACGTGCAGAAGCTGTTTTTCGCTCGAATCTGAAAGTGTCATCCTACCTGGCAACTTTTCATGTGTGTCAAGCGTGGAGGTGCGGAACTATGGCGATCTTATTGTGAAGGTTGTGAAGCAGGTCCAAAAGAAGAATGCCGCCTTGCGCGCCCTCAAGCCCAAGCCTTGAATTCATCCAGCCGTGAAGGCCTTTTGTCTCTGGCCGAGCCCGGAGTAAGGAATTTGTTCAGTCGTGACCCACGAACTTTGGTGCCTTTTGTACATGCCCTTCACTCTTTGCTTTGGAAAGCTGGCGAGGAGTGAGGAAGCCTCACTTTCGGACAGGCATTGATTGCTAGAACAAAAAAGTAATACGATGGTATGTTCACATTCTGATATTCGAAATAACCTAGTTTGGAATAGCTGCAGATGCTCGATTTTGGTTCGCAACGAAGAACATGCAGCAAGGTGATGCTTGTTAATTTTGCTGCCGAAATTCGGATGTCTTTCCTTTGATCACCACATTGTTCATTGCATGGAATATGGAAAAAGCAGGCTATCCGCGCTATTTTGAAAAGCACCGTATATGTTCTTTGGTTGCGAGATTGTCGTACGACCTGCTTTGAAATTGTCGCATCTTTTGCCTGCTAACCTTTCATTCGGCCCACGGATGTTTTGGGATAGGAATTTTGTTACGAATTAGATTTACACTTGAATTAATTCTGAATAAGAGTGCATGTGTTTTCAATGATCCAAGTAAAAATAATCTACATTGTATTTAAATAATCCTCAGCGGACAATTCTTGGACCAGAAACTCTGGTGATTTTTCACAACTTGGTGAGATATGACATTTGGCCTTGGGGAACATTGTATAAGCCTATACGTCGACAAGGGGGCTAGCACCTTTCTGGGTGGGCCGAAAGATTAGTTCCCGTCTAAGTACACACACAAAATTCAGTGGCTCTGCTACGTGAAAGACCTAGTCAGCTCCCTAAGAACGAGAGAGATGCTAAATGGCGTGGAAGGACGGATGGCTTGAAAATAAAGCTTTCTAAAGGTGTCTTGCTTGCCGCGCCTGGCAGAGATATTCAGCCTGACAACTTTGATATGGGGGCCAGAGCAAGCAGACACAGAGGAAGTTGGTAGGGGGCGGACCAAGAGAAAGACGGGCTCAGTCAGTGGCGGGTGGTTCGGAGAGGAGAGAACCTGGGCGGCAGCCTGCTACGGGCCCGGCAGGCAGCCCGCCGGCTGAGGGCGGCGCGAGCGTGGGCCGAGCGGATGGCAACGCTCAGCTCCTGGAGCAGTTCAGCATGGCAAGCGCTCGCGCCCCCCCCCCCCCCCTCCCGCAAGGCGGCTGCGCGAGAGAGGTGGAGAAGGAAACGTCTGGCGGCGGCGTCCTAAGCTCTGCTCTCGGCAGCCAGCGGCACGAATCGGACTCCTTGGTTGAGGTGGGACGCTTTGAGAGCAGCGACTTCCCGCCTGCTGGCCTAAGAACACAACTCCGACCACACGGGGCTGGCCGCAGCCACATGAAGGGCAGTCGGTGAGCTATTCCAGGCTGGCAAGCAAATATTCGCAGGCCGTGCGCAGGCCGGCGAGCTGCGAGATAAGCGTCCTCCGGACTGTACAGGAGGAAAAGGCCAGGACTCTCCAGTTTGGAGAGGAGGCCGAACGCTCGAACTAGGTCAGGATCACGCACAGCATTTTGCTGTTTTAGAATTGCACCTCCATGTCAATAGGCCCGTCGGCAGAGGCAGCTAGGGGGGAGAACGGGGGCATAGGCTGCGTTGGCGATATAGCTCGCCACTAATCGGCATCCAAGGCGAAGGTGCCATGACCCAGACCGGGCCCCGCAACTGCGGGGAGTGGCCAATGCCGCCCGACCCCCATCCGCAGTCGAATCGCGCTGAGCAAGAAGGGCCAGGCAAGGGGGACAAAGGCTGCCCCCAACCTACCCCAGCCCAGGGGAGGAAGGGCTTGAGCCAGCCCCTCGTTGAGCCATTTTAATCCTTGAGCCAAAGTTTAGATCGTATGTATCACTTGTATTGAGAATAATTACATTATATGTTGATGTATAGTAAAATCATGTAAACTAAGTTATGAGAAAATTCAAGCTCATAGTTTAAAAAATAAAATAAAATAAGACTTATGAATGTAAAAAATCAAACATATTTGAAAGACAAGTCATATGAAACAAATAATCACTTTTTAAAAAGGAAAGAAACAACGGATAGATATGTATATATATATATATATAGTAAGAGAATATGTTTTTGGAGCCGGAAACTATTTGCTTCAAATATATAATATTTGGGTTAAACCAAATAATGAAAATATATGTATTAAATAGTTTCTAGAATACGAGGTTTCGTTTTTGCATTTGATTTTCAGGGTGCCCGTTCAAGATGGAAGCCTCCAGATGGTGTAGGGTTCACTGGCATTCAGCCCCGTGGAAAAGTATTGATAGTATGGCAACCGACATTTGCGAAATAATTCGCTCGTCAGGCTCTTATGCCAACGGGAAACCAAAAGAAAATGGGTCGGTAGTTCGCATTTTTGCCAGACCCTTGTCGATTTGGCACTCAGTTTGCCATCCAAAACGGGACCGACTTGCCATGCGTTTGGATCATGGCACCGCAGCCGACACATCTCCGGTCACATCGAGTCCTCGCGCCATGGGCACAGGGCGCTAGCGAAGACCGCGCCGGGCAGGCGAGGAAGGATGAGCACCACAGACCAGCGGTGTTCGTTTTTGGAGGGCCCTGCCAACTGCCATAAAAGTGAATGCCATTGTGTTCCCATGGCAGGTCTCATACTTTGCCACGTAAATACCTATTGAACCAAAGGTGGGTCCTGGTCGCTGCCTGGCTTCAGGACCAGGTCGTCTTCCAAAAGGTCGTGGCATCTACAGCACGGACCTTGGGCCGCTACGGCGGCGTGCTGCTGCAGGCGGGCAGTTCGACCAAGTGACCGAATCAGGCCACGTCACCGATTTGTTTCGGGAACACACGTGTTGTTCTTTTTGTTTGTTTTTGTTTTTTGTTTTTCTCGAATTTAGCCTGACAGTTTGAATATTTGGCTGGGTTTGGTTTGTCCATTGGTGTCCAACGGAGGTGCCTGTCAATGCACCGGAGCCGAACATAAGGTGGCTGCTTGGGTGGGGGAGAAAGGACCCCCACCGCCCAACTACTGAGTAACTACTGCATGAGACGGGTACCTTGAATGAATCGAAGGACATTTCCCAAATAAAGGGGCCGTGACAACAAGCTACTTCGTTCTTACATTGCAGTTGTCATCTATTTACGCTCACTTCGATTTGGTTTGACTGAACGCCCGTGACCAAAATGGAGATAGAATGAGAAACGCAAGCACACGCGGCGTTTGGAGCTTGGGGTAGCCAATCCGTTTGCACAGTTGAGTGATGTGAAAAATATTTCTGCTTTATTGACTCTAATTTCAGGGCGGGCAAAATTCGCCATGAAGTTCAGAAGAGTGATGGTCCCACGTGAACACACGTTATGGCTCAAGGGATCCCAGGGGTTTCTGCTCAACTTTTTCAGTTATATCAGGTGTGGCCTTGGTCTTCTGAATCCTGTGCATCAGGACGATGTCAGATCTAGACGCAACACGCGAAGGGCAGCCGGTTTTGGGCAGAAGATCCTCGGGTGTCAGTTCTCCATCGGCCGGCAGTGCCGGCACCGAGCTGCTCGTGGAGCAGGGTCGGCCTAGTGCGAGGGATGCACAACTCACTGTAGTCCACGCTTTGGCTGACTACATTTCAACGATGAGAATTACACGGCCTGCAGTTCTGCGGGCCACCTCTGCCTACCATGCGTTCGATTCGTGGGCGGCACCTCTGAGAGGCAGTGAAGGGAGAGACTTTTTTGCAAAGAGCCGACAGGTGCGCAAGATCCAAGAATTCTGGAGCCATTCTTGGCATTCGAGCACCTGGGCGAAGTGTTTGACGCTTTTGGTGCTGAACAACGGCGCAGCAGCGATTTGTGTGGGTAACGTGTGTGCCTTGCTTGGCATTGTGCTCTTTTATCTTCACGTCCTGCCAGGCTTCGACCGGCATTTGGAAGATGGTCAGGCAAATTCTTCCGTATGGGTATCAGTGCTAGGTGCCGCTGGCACAGCTTTGACATTGGCATGCTGGCGATCTAGGAAGGAAGTGTTCCTGGACAGGATTTGCATTAGCCAGGCGGATGACTTGAAGACAGAGGCCATTTGCAGCCTTGCCGGGATTCTGAGCAAGTCAGAATCCATGCTGGTGCTTTGGGATGCTTCTTTTGCGGAAAGATTGTGGTGCGTGTTCGAGATTGCAGCATTCCTCAACAGCCAGCAGACGCGAGAAAGACCCCTTGTCGTTTGCCCAACCCTGACTGGGTCAATCTCAATTGCTGTCTATTCAATGGCAACATTTGCGTTTATTCCACTTGTTGTCTTTCCATTTCAGCTGCAACGTGAAATCCAATTTACTCTGCACTTGGCAAGCTTCGCAACTGCTGGTTCTGTTGGGGCGTATTCATGCTGCCACGTTATGCGCGGCTTTTACCGTTCTATAGAGGTCATGCAACGGCAGCTGTTGTCCTTAGAAGTAGCAGATCTAAAATGCAGCTGCTGCAGTACGGGAAGATGCATTGATGGACAGACAGTCTGTGATAGAGAAGTCATTTCCGGAATCATTGCGATATGGTTTGGCAGCACACAGAACTTTGCAGAGCATGTTGGCACCGAAGTTGTGGACGTGATTACATCGCAGCTCGAGCAGAATGCTTTCAGCTATGCTTGGAGTGTTGCTATCGTAAGCCCGGCGCAGTGGGCAATGTTCGATTTTATGCTGTTCGAAGTGCGAAGACCCCAACCGCACTGGGCGTTATTCACGGTGTGGCTCTCCGTTGGGCTTACTATATTTTTGCTCTGTCCTATATTTTTCTCGTGGGCCAAGTTCTGTGCTTTCCACCTGCGCCATGAATCCAGCTCCAGATGCCGCGAGGTCTGCAAGAACTTGCTCATGATTCTTTATGTGAGCCCAGTGGTTGTTTTTGGCGCGGGCGCTCTTGGGGTTGGCTGGTTTTTCCCCGTCTGGAATTTGAAGTCAGTTGTAGTTGTAGCCGTCCTTCTGCCTGGCTGGGCTTTCATGTGTCTCCTGCGCAGGCGTGGGAATGGCTACTTGAGCAGATTTCTTTTGCAGCAGAGGCTTGTGAGGAGAGGTGTGCTTGCCCAAGGCTGAAGCAAGCACTGCCTGCGAATGCTTTAGGCACTCAGCACGGCTTGAATTTGGCCAGCTATTAGGAAAAAGAAAGACACGCTAAGGCCTAGGTTGGTGTTTGCGAAGGGCGTGTGCAGCCCAGCGCC